GCATTAGCAACCCAAACACCTAATTTTGACAAAAAAATAATCACAATACAGAACACTTTACGTCCCACAAACAAATAGATGGAAAACATTTCCTTTGAATGATTCTTTTTATTCAATTTTGTCATAAGCTTTGGCATAATTCCAAACAACACTAGCAATTTCCCTTTCAGATCAAGACATTTGCAAATATTTAGCAGGATGGTCAGATTAAACATAAAACCATAATGACAAACATATTAAACAAAGCAACTAAAATATGGGTGCAATGTGAGTTCAAATAAAGACAAATAAAACTACAGCAAGATATTTTAAAAGTAGTTGGGGTTTCAGAAGTGCTGTAAATCAACAAGCCTGTTGTGAAGTGCAAAAGTACAGAAGTCACACCAGACATTTACTTTACATAAACCTTTAAAAAAAAGATAATTCTAATAATTTAGATATACTGATGCTACCTGATTCTAGGTGTATAAAAGATTATGACAACTAGGAAAGTAAAAAAAACTACTACACTAATTATTTAAGGATTTGTTTTCAAAATATGAATTAAGGGTTAATAATTGTAAATATACAATTCTGAAAATTGTTTATTGGAAAAATGCCTTTAGGAACAATATAAATATAAAGAGAAAAGTATTAGAACAGAATGCTCATTAAAGAATAGTTTTCCCCTATTCCTATTGTTTGTCCCTGATCTTTTATCACTGTCAGTTTGTTCATACATAAACAGCTCATGAAAATAAAGGAGGTGGAAAAATCAGTATTACTGTATACAAGATTACAGAAAAATTAAATGAGCAAGTACTTCTGTTTCTCTGCCTCATCAAACCATATATTTTAAGCTTGTGAAATATCCTATATATGCACTCAAAATTCTCAGCATATTTCAATGCTACAAGGAGTAAGACATTCCTTTTCCTTTTTTTTTTTAAGTGTTTTTTTCTCCTCGCTGGCCACAGAGGAATTGCATTAGGACATAGTCCTTCTTCCCTACATCCGCCTACGACAAACATTTGCTGCAAGTCAGCGACTCCAAAACCAAATTGTTTACAATTAACTCAAAAAGCCATTAAAAAATTGTTTCTTTGTTCCAGTTGGAAAGAGAGACAGCCAGATGTGTGGCTTGTTGATCTTGCTCTTTGCTGACCTCTGAGTGTAGGAAGAACTGCAGCTGAGGAAGGAAGTCAGCAAGTTGTGTTAATGAAGGTGAACATTGCAAAAAAAGGGCTTGCAATACTTTTCATTAAAGAAAAAGACATTTGAAAGACATTTTTATTAAAAAAGAGATAATACAAGGGTTTATTTTTTCCCACAGGTGAAAAATTAGAGCTTTTGTTTCAGACGAAGTAACTGAGTTTGTGTATTTTGCTACTTCTGAAAAAATTTACCCTTAATTTCAAAAATTTCATGAAGTTTCACTGAGGTGCCTGTAAATTAGCAGATACCTCATCATTAACAGCTGCTGGAAAACCATCATTCTCTGAGGATGTAAAACTCAGGAAAAGACTTTTAATTTTAGGCTCTGAGTCACAGACTAGCACTACAGACCAAAATCTGGCATAAAGCTGAATTCCAGATTGAGAGTGTGCCCAGTTCTTGGGAAAACACATCTGGCAAACAGTACAAGGCAACCCCTACAATCATCACAGTACTTTTCTTCACAGTTCTCCCTGAACCACATTTATGCATTGTCTCTGCAAAATACCTGGCAATGAATTAACTAGAAGTCTGTGTTAAAAACCTCATTATGTGGTACTCCTCATAACCATACAGAACATGCCTGTACAAGATACTCTGTGAGATAAAAACCATCTCACAACCTGTACAGCAACAGGTGTGAAACATTATCAACTCGTTTATAAACTTTTAATTACTTTATAAAAATGTTTGAAATGCATTCTGAAATTCTACAACCACAGTGTTCCTCATTTTATCAAGATACCTGAGATGTTAGTAAGTTATCATGGCCTAAGGTAAACTAAGGACACATTTGTGTGTGAAGTACAAATTCACTCCAGAGATTCGGCTTTAGATACTAATTCTGGCACTCAACATCAATCCTTAAGCAGTTAGTGAACCCTACTTCAGACATCCAACTTAATTGTCTGGATTAGGCTAAATGTTTCATCTTGCTCTCCCTGCACTGCTAACTTCATCTTAAACACTTCACACTACTTTTGTTGGAAAACGATGCCTAATTCTTGTCAAGCAGTTACTATATTAAGACCATACTTACCATGTAAAGACCTGAATATAATCAGTTCATCTTCCAACTGTCCATTATGCTAGTATTTAATTAAGAAACTTTCCAATGTATTCTTAGAAAATGGGAAATTGAAAATGAAAACACTTTACTCCCTTCCCACCCCATATTCTCCTGCTCCCAAGGTCATTTAAAAAAACAACAGTAATAGATCACAACATACACAAAATGCTTCGGAAAACAGTTATACTATTATCTAATCTGATAGGGACCATTCAAACTCTGGAGAACTAAAGCAATAATTCATGTCACATTTTTTGAAAGTTGTAAAGGATACTGGCATTTTAAAAACAGTCTACAAGATTCAATTTTCCTCTGCACTGACAGAAATGAAAACCTTATCATGTAAAGTTCCCAGTACAGCTCAAACATCCCAAACTTAAGAGCACAAAACATTGATTCTGCTGCATTTAGAATTTAGTATTGGCTTTTCATTTTTATATTAAGATTTTATTTTCAGAACTTTTCTTTTTACACAAAAGTCTTCATATGTTTCTGCAGTTTCTATTTGGTGAGTCTGAAAAAAAATTAATCTTTAAGATCAGCAAAGTCATATTTGAGGGTTTCATTTTGAAAAAAAGTCTTAACTGTAAAAGGTCTAATAGCCAACAGTTAGACTTCAAAAATGTATCAGGTAAAAAAATAGTAATTAATTTTCTTACCAGATGTAATTCCTACCAGTTTATTATTTTCTACCAATGAACTTAATAAAAACAGTGAACCATGCTATAGTATTATTAACTTTATATGGAATAAATATTAAATAGTCCATAATTTAATCAAATCTTTATTTCCTCATTTCACCCTTCTTTTTCTCCTCCCCATTTCCTATTTCTTCTGTCACATCAAGAGTATTCATCTCCACTCCTACCATTTTCTTTTATTTTTCCTTTTCATTCTACTTGTTCTGTCACACACATGCAGAAGTCCATGCTGAACACCTGGTTTTGAGATTCCTCTTTGGCTCAGGATCATCCTGGGCCATTAATCTTAGTTGAAATGCTACTGTAAAATTTAATAGTATGTTACGTACATAATTCCTATTTCAACTCCCATATCACTGTAACAAAATAGGAGGTTGGAAGCTATTTTAATGAAGAAAGTAAAACCTAAAAATAAAATATGCAAAATAGCTTTGCTGGTTATGTATACAGTCCTTACAAGTTCACATCAGTAGTTTAAAACACAGAGAACAATTTTCTACCCTGCAGAAACTGTCAAAGCTCTGATTGAAGTCTTTCATCTGAAGTCTCTCCTGCCACCCTTCCAATCCACCTCCTTCCTTAGACCTGGGTTTGTTGACCCATCCAATGAAATGAAACTGGAATATTGCTGTCTTTCAGCTACGCTGGTTCCACATCCTTTGTGACATTAAAGTGATGAATCTCTATGCCTTCTACCACTGCAGGTGCCTTTATTTATTTTGAACAAACCTCCACATGATCAGCAAACACCTTTTTGACAGACTGTCCAGACTCCACCTGGGAGTGAACTGGCTTTGATAGAAACCCAGTCAAGGCTGCTGCTGTGTTGGGCTTGTTTTTGCCTGCAACTGGAAGTTTTCATGGTCTTTTGCCCACAGTACCACTTATTGGATGCATTCACAGCAAGCTGAATTAATCACAACATTCACTGTTACTAAAGCAGGGTTAACTTAAAGAATCCTTTCCATAGGCAATGGCTTCCATCTCTCCAAGAAACCACTGGATCAAAGCTGCCATCTCACACAGCCTTACTACTGACAGTTCAGTTAAGATACTATTGCCTTTCAGATTTTGGGTGTTACATGCTGCAAGTACTCCAGGTCAAATGTCCTGTTTGCTTCACGCTTCCCAGCAATCCAGGAAGGGCTGGCAAACACCTTGGTTTGTGTCACAACCAGAACCGATGCCCGTGACTCTCAGCCCCGCAGCCTCAGTGCAGTGCTGACCACAACCTGGTTGCATGTGAAGTGTGACAGAGATGTCCCTTCTGGTCCCTATAATCTTTGTAGAAAACACAAGAAGCCAGACTGGCACAACCTCTAATATGTCACAAAGAAGTACCTTGTTTCCAACAACAAATTTTCTTTTAATTATATCTACAGATCAAAACCTTCTAGTTCATCTCTATCACCCTCTGCTTCCCCCTCAGCTATTGAAGTTTGCAGCTGTTCACAACCTCTTCATAGTCCTTCTCATGTATCAAACCTTTTCTTGAAGCAGAGAGAAATAAGAAGTTTAAAGCCAATAAAACAATTTGGTGCTGCAGGTATTGGCACTGATTCCCTTGCATTGATACCACTACTTCTGTGAATCTGCAGTGAGCTGATGCAGAGGTCTAAACTCACAGAAGAGTAATCCTCAGGGAAGCCTTTGCAATCCCACAGATTTTCAGCATTAAATTCCCTAAACCACCACATCCTGCTGAGTGAAGGTGTTGATGCAAGAGAAGGGGCAGACAGTACTCAGCTAACCCCTCTAGATGGCAATGAGCTAATAGAACAACTATATAACTGATCACAAAATAAAGTCCTGTACATATACTGACCATACAGAGTGGCTGGTGTGGTTTCTCTCAGGGAATATAGACGTTTAGGACAAATGAACTATTAGCACTTAAAATCTCAAGTAACATTGGACTCATTTAACACATAAACACTGCATAAAGCAAAGTCCAGCATAGTGCACTCTTTAGCCTTCTCAGAATTCACATATAAAAGGAAGAGGATATTTAACACAGACACACAGTTATGTCTTACCTAGAAATAAAGTGGTTCCAATTCACATTCAAAAACCCAAAGAGGTGATGCTAAACATTCAACGTCCGTCTGTCATGAAAAACATTCAAGATTACACTTGGGGTTGGCTTTGCTCTTCCCTATCTCAATTTTGCAATAAAACTTTCTAGTTTAAAAAAGACATTTCCATGAGAAATAGAAGTTGTTCTATTGAAAGTCAGATTTGTAACATCCAAAAATTTTTGTAGTCATACCATTAAAAAATGCAGCTGGGTTGAAATGATCAGGTATTCAAACTAAATTTTATCCCATATAATTCTGCTGAATAGATTCAGCAGATAAGTGGGATTTTATAACAAGCTGTGGCCAAGACTGGTACAGGCAAAGGGAAATAATGTGCACTGATAAGGGTATGCATTATATTAAGAATTAAAAGATATAATAATGAAATAATGGGAATGGAATACATTTCCAAAACATTTAGCAATTTAGTACAAAGGCTATATTTATTTAAAATAATATTTATATTGAAAAAAGTCCAGTTAAAGCAGTTCTAAGTTCAGAAATTAGTTTTCCAATCTTTTGAAATGACTGAAATAAAGAATGTAATTTAAATGCCCAATAGTGATCATTTCATTTACAAAGTGTTGGAGCAGGGGACATCACTAGAAAAACAAAGTGACCAGGTCCTTCTTAAGGTTCTACACAGACAGCTATTTTAATGTTACTTTTTCAACTCTCTAAATAAAATAAGAGAGATGCAAGCTTGCTCCCAGAATAAAGATGAAAGTAACAAGGAAAATAAAGCCACTATAGAAAAGCTTGGAAGTGAACTTCAATTTCAATCATAACCTAAATAATAGTAATATAGCTCCACAAACACTTTTCCCAAATATTCAGTTTCACTATCCTCATAGCCTCAGAGGTCAACCATCCAGTTCATAAATCAGCTTAATTCAGCTTCATTAGGTTTTGGCGTTGAAAAACACACAGTTGTGTTTCTGCAGTTATATTTATAAATATGTGACTAAAAACTGGGTTTAATCTAATTATGGACTTTTATTCATTTAACTTCAAAACAGTAACCTTGATTGCTGCCTAAAGAGGAATTATCTCTTTAAACTTGTGTGCGCAGTGCAGACTGGGGCTTTTTTCCTAAAAATACGTTCCTTACTGCATATTGTAACAATTCATTATAAATGCAGATTAAATTATATCAAAATGTAACACTAATTTCCCAAGTAGAACACCCACACAGGGAACTAATTATGAATAGCTCCTCTGTGGAAACAAATCTTTGAACCAATTAGTACCTGGTCAAGTCGGGGAACTCCCTCTCTCTAGGGGAAGAACAATTTTTTTTTTTTTATCATTATTTTGCTGCTGGCTGCAAATTCTCTCCAGTTCTGTAGGAATGCATGGTATTTGCAATTTGTATTTCAGACACTTTGATGGGAACTCAGTCAAAATTTGGAAAAAAAAAATGGTAGTAGAAGACCCATAAAAATCATAGAGCCAGGACTTCAAACGGGATGTGAACAAATCCTGCTCTCTGCCTAAGCCAATTCTGTCCCAAGGGTTTAGACAGACCAGAACAATAACAGTGAAATGACTCAAAACAAACAGTAGAGTAAATGAAAAAAGTACATGGGAAGAAGAATTCTCAATTGTTGCTCTATAATAAGAAAAGCAAACAAATAAAAACCTCAAGGCGAGAATATTATACCCAGATAGCATTCTGAAAGCGTCAGTGAGATGCAACAGTAAAACTGCATAAAAGATGGTATTCAACGAGGGCTGAGTGTTCATTTATCATTGATGATGTTCAAATCTGCTCCACAGCTGTTCTGTGCAAGTCTGAAAGTACCAGAGTTTACGCTTACCTTGTTGAAGATGATCCAGAGCCTTCCCAATACTTAAACAGAGGCTGCAATCTGTGGATTTTAAAATTTATTTAAAAGGATCGTTAGTAATGAAACTGTTTGAATTAATGAGTAAAAATCAGAAAAGTTACTTAAATGCCTTCAAGAGAGAATAACTTCCCTTTTTTCAAAAGCAAAGAGTACTCTGCAAGGTGTCTTCTACTGTGCGTTACTCCCAGAGCCAAAGGTCAATTAATCTCATACTAGCGCACACCAGGGTAGTGAATGACTGCTGCACAAACACCTCAGGACAGGGAAAGGACTGGCAGCACTGCACAGAACCAGACACTCACCCTTTCCCACACAGCAATGATGGACTAAGAGACAACTCTTGACCCTCCAGTGCTACAGGGCTGCAAAAATCAGCTCTAAATACCACTGTTTAGTGTAGCATTTAGTGCTTGAACATGTAAGAAAACATGTCTGCTTCCCTCTTGACTCAACAACAACAAAAATCACAGGTCTGAAATACTCTGGAATTCCAGCATTAATTACATTCATATAGAAAAACTAAATTTTGGAAAGAAAACCCCAGCAACTATCAAGGAGAACCTCCTGTTCATCTGAATTATAAAACCACAAAACCTTTGCAACTTATAAAGAATAGCTGTCCCTCAGCACAACTCAAGTAGTAGCTAGGACTGAACTAGATTTTTAATCAAATACAACATTCTGGAAGTCTGCTTTTTAATACTTTTTTAAAAATTGCCTCAGATATCTAAATTTCATTCAGTATAAAACAAAACAAAACACAAAATCAAATGGCATATAAAAACAATGTCAGTGTAATTTTCAGGGTTAATGTGATTAGCAGGTATGAAATGAGCACTAAAAAAAAGACTACAAACAGATGCCAGAAAGCCTTTATTGTCTGTGAGCAATAACTGCATGGAATGGGCTGCAAGGCAAGTTCACTGAGGTATCACATTTGGATTGAGAGAGATGCCATTGAGTGAGAAAGCCACTGCCATGGGTGAGAAGGAGGATAAACCACTCTGAAAAGTTTAGTTTACAGTTTGGTATCTTTAAAATATTCCTCTAAAAGTGAAGATAAATATTCCATGATTGGAATCTGTTTTCCACAGGAAAGCTGAGGGAAGGAAGAACAACACTTTAATGAGTTCAGAAAATAATTAAGTATCAAGACACTTAGAACACTGTGACTTAACCACACCGTGAAGAAATGCATTTGTGAGCAACTGCTCTTGTTCTTGAGAGAATTTGCAAGTCAGAAAGAAAGGAAAGTCATCATTTCTTAAACACCAGCCTGACAAAAATGGACTGAAATAAATAAGGCACTCTGAAACTTAAGTAAAATGCTGCTCTAAGGGAAGGATATTAACAAGGAGGCAAACCATCACATATTAACACAGAAGAGAAAATTCTCTTTTACTATTTTGGGAAGCTGCAGCAAGTCAATTTATCTCTAGTTAAAATGCATTTATACAATGAAACACGGGAGTCAGTTCGGTTGCCTTAGTGTAATAGTCTGGGGGACCTGCTGGGAGTAAAGCTTATTATCCTCCCAGGGATTTGAGCAGTCATAGTTCACAACCAATTTGACTTAAGGAAAAACACAGCTGCTATTTTGAAAGTTTCCTGCTGTGTAAGAAATAATTAAGGCTGCACAATCAGTATTCCACAAAGCATAAATAGCAGAGATGCTAAATTAATTCTATTCGGAAATAAGGAGTTAAGTGAAGCTGCATTACAGAATGGACTACATAATGCTCAAAGGCAAAAGAGGAGAGTTAAATGAGAGGAAGTGTGCATCAGAAGCCAAACTCTCTCTTCTAACTACGCAACCACAACATTATTTCATGTTTTAGAAGTCCTTTACTCAAGAAGTAGAATGTACAACTTCCAAAATGAAGCAATGAGTTTTATTCTGCATTAAAATATAAAAACAAAAAAGGAGTAGCAGCTGAACACATTTATCAATGTAAAAACAGAAAAAACCACAGACTTATGAAAACCTCTATTACCAACCTGGTACCATTTAAATATTACGCAGATAAATGCAATGGCAATACCAGTAATTCAGGGCAGTTCATCCTTAGAGCATCCTGACCTGAGCTTTGATTCTCTCCCCACACAAACTGCAAACTGCACCGGGAATTCCCAGCCCAGGAATGGCACTGTCCGTGTGGAGACTGGGAGGTCAGGATCGCTGGACCACAGCCAGGTGGAGGAACACATGACAAGGTTACCAAGAAGCCTATGCCATCCCAACAGCTACTCCTCATGTCCTGTAGAAGGTGGTGAGACAGATGGCTGTGCTCCACAGACTAGAGTCAACCCCTGAGCTGTCTGTTGGACCAGACACTGTTAAGTCATTAGGATGCTAATAGCTTTAACACTGCTTAAAGAAAAAAAACACCCACACACAAAACTTCACACCCTACAGTTTTGCTAAATGTAAGGTTAGACTTGCACATCCTAGACAGGAGGCAAACAGACAATTAGAAGAGGGTTGATGAAGACAGGGATTCCCCTGGGAAAAGCTAAGGATCATGACAACTCAGGTTTGCATTAGCACTGCTCCTTTAGCTAACAGAAAGCAAAGCTTAGGTCAGGAATAAGTTTTACTCTACTGCCAGGATACACATCCTCTGGATATTGTACATGCCATCTGTTTAATACTCAGGTTATTAATTTTGATTTAAAATGCCAGGCCATAATTCTTCAAATATATATATCTACTTAAATGCTTTCAAAATTGCTGATTATACTTGCGTATTCTCTGGGGCTTGTCTTACAAAAGAAATATGAAACTCAATTATTCCATGATTTTAAGTTGCTCTGGCTCATTTTTCCAGCTTCCCAGACAGCTTCTTACTTCCAGGCTTGAAAGAATTTTTCTTCTACCTTCCTAAGCGCACATTGACAATGCTGCCACTGCCTCCCCAAAGAAGCTGCTGAATCCCAGCTTCCTGGAAAGCAGGATCTGTGGCCACATATATGTCAAAAAATAAAACAGCCCAGGGCACACAGCCACGTTCTGGGCTTGGAACCAGCAAACACGTTACAGCTTGTAGCTGGACAACTAAAATCCTATTCCTCCATGCAGCCCAGCTAGATCCAAACAGACTTTTGGAAACAGTCCATAGTCTGTCCCAACCCCAGAACTATGCTTCGGCATTATCTGGGAGAGTGTTAGTTGGCATAGAACAAAACTGTGTCATGAGCAGGACTAAAAATGTAACAGTAGAGTCGCATGCCATACCCACTCCTTATTTAGTTCCTGCTATGAACATGCATCACCAATACAGTACCCAGTTGCTTCTGGAGAAGATAATTTTTAGAAGTCAATTCCATAACCAGCCAAATGAGTTTCAGAATTAAGAGATCACCCTTGCCTAGGTGGCTGTTGCTTTCAAATCAGGGGAACAGAACCACATAATTACGTAACATCTGAGCATTTGTGTTTCCATGAGTATCACATGCAGCATATGGGAAAATGTGCACTCTCTAGGCTTTGGACCTTTTTAATGTGTTCAGATAGACTGAACATGAGCATCTGATTTCTTAATTTTGGCAAGCCTGGACTGCTGGTGGTACAACATTAGTGCTGATTGTCAGCTGGTATAAAATGGGCATAGGTCTATCAACTGCATTCCAATGAACAGCTGAGATTCTGCTTCTCCAAACTTCACCCACATTAAGAGTGATGGGCAAGGAAGAAATTCATCTTACAAAATCAGCATTTTAGGAACAATCTGTGGGTTTATTTCAATAATTCACAAAGTTATATATGTCTTCACAAATGGTTTTTTTTGGTCCAAGTCAGAATTCCCAAATTAATTACTTTTAAAAAAATCATGCAAACCTGAATTGAAAACATTTACCCTTATTTTGCACAAAAAGGATAACAGCAAGAAGTTGTTGTAAAGACAAGAGAGGCACATAAAACTTTACAAAGGAAAACACTACTACCGTGGTGCAAATATGGATGTAAATATTGTACTTGGCAAGAATTACTGTGTGTAAATCTTTGTATAGATGTGATTATGCAGTGACATAGGGGACTGAAAAATCTTTCTGACAACACAAGAACATACAACCCTTTCACAAACTGCTGACCCCGCATATCATCATCTTCAGTGCCAACTCCTCACCCTGGAGTGTTAAGTGCAATGGCACTGTGTATTGGGTTTCCGTGGCCAGGTTTTGGTAGCGGGGAGGGCAGTGAAGGGGAACAGGATGGGATGATACAACTTGCCACTGGCCAAGGCAGACCCCATCAGTGATGGTGGCAACACCTCTAGGATAACTGAGTTAAGAAGGGGGGAAAAAATCTGCTCCAAAAGAGCAGCTGAAGAGAAAGTGAGAGCATGAGCACAACAGCCCCGCAGACCCAAGGCCGCTGCAGAAGGAGGGGCAGGAGGTGCTCCAGGTGCTGGAGCAGAGATATTCCTGCAGCCCCTGGTGCAGCCCTTGGTGAGGCAGCTGTGTTCCCAGAGCCCATGAAGGACCACGGGGGAGCAGAGATCCACCTGCAGCCCGTGCAGGACCCCAGAGCAGAGCTGTGGGTGCCTGAAGGAGGCTGTGACCCTGTGGGAAGCCCACCCTGGAACAGGCTCCTGGCAGGACCTGTGGCCTGTGGAGAGGGAAGCCCACACTGGAGGAGGTTTGCTGGCAGCACTTGTGACCCCATGGGGGACCCATGCTGGAGCAGCCTGTCCTGAGGGATTGCATCCCTTGGGAGGGATCACATTGGAGCACTTCATGAAAAACTGAAAGGCCATGGGAAGGACTCACATAAGAAAAGTTTATGGAGGACTGTGGGAGGGGACCCATGCTGGAGAAGAGAAAGAATGTCAGGAGGGAGTAGCAGAGGTGTGCTGAACTGACTGCAACCTCCATTCTCCTCCTTCTTCTCTCAGTTTTGAGGGAAAGTAGAAAAATATGCAGTGAAGTTGAGCACAGGAAGAAGAGTGGGGTGGGAAGAAGGTGTTTTAAGACTTGGGTTTATTTCTCATTATCCTACTCTGATATGATTGGTAATAAGT